TGGGTGCGTGTCGTTGTAATCTCATGATGTATTATGTTATTATGTTTGTGTTCTGGTTGCAGTAGGGTCCGGTTTTGTGATTTTCGGGACCGGTTGTAGTAGGGTCCGGTTTTGTGATTTTCGGGACCGGTTGTAGTAGGGTCCGCTTTCCAGTTGTAGGAGGGACCATCTGGTTGCAGTACGGACCATCTGGTTGTACTAGGGACTATTTTCGGGTATCCCGTCCCCTTCTTTTGCTAACATTGCTAGCTTACGGCTCAATCATTCCAAGGATTTTCTTTTGATCTCGTGGTGCTAGGCCCGCAAGAGGCTAGGTACGAATGGGAACTCTGACGGAGGAGGAAAAGCTGGCGCTAGGGTCCTCGGACCTTAAGTTCCTGCTAACCACCTGCGAGATAAAATCGGCTTCTCAGGCAAAGCTGTTCGAAGCTGGAGTCAACGTTCGCGGCATTTGTAGCCAGCGAAGATGACCTCAAGGAGGTGCTAAAGACCAGCTTCGCGTTGGATCCGGCTACATCGCTAGCAAACCGTGCACAGATTGCTAGCTATGTGGTGGCTTGGGGCCAGGCTAGGACCAGGATGAAAGCCCAAGCGGAGGCGGAAGCTAATAACGAAATCCGCGACTGGACAAAACCGATTCCAATGTCGGAATATCTGGCTATGAGACAGGCCTTTGCTAAGGCCTTTGGAGAGCCGGAAGATAAACACGTACCCTCCAAGGAGTACGTTGAGAAAAAGCTAAGCGAGCTAGAGGGCGGCGAGTTCAGAGCAGAGGCCCTCAGCGAGATAGTTAGCCGCGACGAGGTGGATCCAGACGTCCTGCTACCAGTCTGGGATAGCAAGGGCCACATCTCAGTCAAGAAAGGGTCGTCGACCGTAGCTATGCCATCTGGTCCAGAACAGCTAAGGCTACGGCTAACTGTGATGTGCAACGCTATTCGTATGCTGAAGCTAAAGCATACACGGCGACATGAGATTAAGGACGTGGATGCGGACCTGTTTGAGACCTACAAAGAGTATTTGCTAGGAGATTACTGCTACGGGCTGCGTACAGCTGGTTCGGCGGCGGCCACGATACCCCATGGACCTTGGTCCTTAGCTATGAGCATGCTATTCGCAAATATGCCTGCAAGCTAGTTACCCAGGAAGGGCTACAGCTAGGAGCTGCCCTCAAAAAGGCCTGGAAGGACGCTAGCGTGAAGGAGCACACTTCATCACGCCGCTAGCGCTTTACGCTAAGCGACCCTTGCCGCCACCCCCGGGGAACTGGGACAATGCTAGCAGAGGCCGTGGTCGTGGCAAGGGCGGCAGAGGCGGAAAGGGCAACAAGGCCCCGGGCAAGGGCAAAGCTACAGCTACAGCTAAGGGATCCTCCAGGACCCCTGATGATAAGCCGATTCGTTTTTGCTACAACAGCAAGGCTGGCTGCAAGAAGAAGGATAAGTGCCACTTCACGCACGCTTGCCAGCTATGTTTCGCTAAGCACCCAGCCTATCAGTGCAAGGCTGGAGCTAAAGACACCCAAGGCGAGCGTGCTGCCTGACCAGAGATGCCGATACGGCAAGTCCAGAGGAGTCAGCTAAGCAAGATAACGCCGCTCCGGACGCTACTGCTAGACCTCCTACAGCCAGTCCCACACGCAAGATACGGGTCCTGTATCTCTTCGCGGGTCGGCCCCACAAATGGGATATGAGTGACTGCCTAACTAAGCTAAGCTACGAGCAAGGTGTCGATACCCACGTTGATTGCATTGATATACAGCGAAAGCCGAGAATCGACCTCTCCAAGACTAAGGAGAGAGACAGGATATTGCAAGCTATTCGAGCTGGAGCGTATGATGCTATACTGCTATCACCGCCATGTTGACACAAATGTATCCTGGGCAACATCTTCGCCGATTTCACCTGGGAGGTGCTGGAGCTCGCTGCTGAGCTAGATATCTCCTTTGCTTTGCTAGAGCAGCCCGAGGACTTGGGCGCTATGAGCTACGGGCCTCATGCTGGAAAGAGACCGGCCTCCATGTGGCAATGGCGGCAGCTAGCTACAAAGGTTTCAAAACTTTTTCTTTTCACCAAGGGAACCTTGGTGCTAGCTACTCCAAGCCTACGCGATTGCTAGTTAAGACCTCTCTGGGTCTCCCTCCCTTTTGCTATATTGGGGTCCCTTCCTTTGACAATACAGGTTATTACACGGGCCCCTTACCTATAGCTAAAGGGATGGGATCGATAAGAGCTAGACAAAGTACGGGGCCTTTCAAGACCTTGAGCACAGAGAAATGGCCAGCGAAGATGTTGCTGGCTACATGCACTTCCTCTGCTACGTCAGCTTCGAAGGGGTCGGGCGAAGTGCTACAACAGCAACAAGAGACACCTGCTAGCGAGATGCCCCCTTTCCTACATGTCCTGCGGAAGGGGGGGCGGCTACTGGGAGGATCTGGACCTCCAAGAATTTGCAAGGTAGTGGGGGGAGCTAAGCCTTTCCACGATGGAGGAGGACTCTGCTCACCTGGCCGTTGGCCTCACGACAGGAGAGAGCTAGCGGAAGGCAGGAACTGGGATTGGCTAAGGCAGTCCCTCTTCAAAGCCGTCTTGGACTTCGCGGGAGGCCCTAAGCCTTCCGTATGGCTACAGGAGGAGAGGAAGGCTGCGCTTTGGTCAAGGATGGCGAGCTACAGAAAGACTATCCTGAAGATTTGGAGCGATTGGATTGAGGCCCAAGAGTTGGGGGTCGAAGGATTGCTAGAGAGAGGTACCGGACAACCTTTGCGATTGAGATTGATTAGAGCCTTGCTACAAGCTGCCGATGATCCAGATAGAGATTTTCTGTTGAGAGCGGAGAAGGGGCTGCCGGTAGGTATTTTGGAGCCGCTGCCAAGGACTCCCCACGTTTTTGAAGAACAAGAGAAATGGCCGCTAGATAGCGACCCTTGGGAGCCCAGCCTAGCATGGGTACCCAATTACTCCTCAGCTAGAGAGCACAGCGACTTCGCCAAAGAGAGGTTTGAGGAGGAGATAGCGGAGGGGCTCATGGAAAAGATATCCATGGAAAGCTTCCGCCACCGCTATGGCGAAAACTCGGCTATAGCTGCGCTAGCTGTCATCGTGGAAGATGAGGAGATTGGAAAGAAACGGCTAATCCACGATGCGACCCATGGGGTGAGAGTACACCACCGCATACGCTGCCGTGACAAGCTACGAGCCCCTGGAGCTAGAGAAAAGAAGCAGCTACTGCTAGAAATGATGGAGCGAGGAGAAGTCGCTTTTCTGTGGTGGGGGATATATCGAAGGCCCACCGGCGATTTAAGCGTTGCGAAGAAGAACATGGCTTTTTGGGCTGCCAGATAGATGAAGCTAGCGATACTGTTTACGTTAACAAAGTGGTACCTTCGGTGTCAACTGCGCTAGCTACTGGTGGACGAGGATAGCGGCAGGGCTACACACCACCTGCTAGGAAAGCTACCGCTGGACCTCCTCTTGAGCTACGACAGCTCGAGGGAGGATGGGCATTTGTATTAAGCTACCTCTATCTTTCTGCTATGGGCTACCCCTTCAAATGGGCTAAGACGAGAGGTGGCTTCAGAATGGAATGGCTAGGCATGGAGACGGAGTGCTCCAGCTACAAGCTAGGCCTCACACAAAAGCTTAAAGGGAGAAAGTTAGAGAGGGCCAGGTCACGGCTCGAGAAATGGCCCAGGGCCTGGCCGGCTAGGCGATTTCCCTAGACTGCCTGGACTGGGAAAGGCCGTTTGTCGGCCACCCTGGAGGCGAGGAGATAGTTTTCTTCACAGACGCTAAGGCCGAAAATGGCTAGTGCCTGGGTGCCACGTGGTTCTCTCTGGAGGTCACGAGAGATTGGGCACCTTGGGCCTTTTCCAAAGAAAGCCCAAATAAAGTTATTGCTTCGCTAGAGCTGCTAGCGACTTTGATAGGCGTGAAACTTTGGGTCCCTGATTCCAAGGACCAACAAGTTTCTACGGACAACCAGTCCAATGAAGCCCTCGTCAAGAGCTTCTGGCTCAGACTCGAACTCCGCGAGTTCAGAGGCGGGCAACCGCTTGGTGGGAGCGGGCTAACAGAGTCTGCAGGTTTTCGGTGGCAGGCCTCCCGATCCGGGTGGTTGCTCAAAGTATGAGAGAATTTTGAGGAAGAAGATGTGGGTCATGATGGCCCGACTTGCAGAAGATACCGGCCCTTGTCCACCGCAATGGCTTGAGAGGAGAATCGAAGCCCTTGACTGGGGTGTCAAGGCTCGCGGCAGCTTGGTGCTGCCTTCAGCGTGCTTGGAGCAGGGTGCTCTGCGTGCCACGCAGAGGCGCTTGAGGCGTCTTTTACAAGCCAGAGTGGTTGCTGCCTTGAAGCAGCGTGACAGCAATGCTAAGAGTGATGAGCTTATCCCTGTCTTCGAAGGGGATGTCAAGTGCAAGGAGTGCAGTGATCATGCAATGGCTCCTGCCAGAGCGACAGTGGCTAAGTGGCGGGCTGGCGTCTTCGTGAACAAGGATGATGCCAAGCACTTCCGGCCCTTTGACACGACCCAGGACACGCGCTACGACCCGGACATTCAGCCCAGGCACAGTGTACAGTGTCGCAGTGATACGAGTGGCAGTGTCGGAGTCGTGGAGATTCTGGAGGGTGGTGCCACCGAACTGAGAGATGGTGGTAGAGTTCAGGAAGGCTCTTCAAATGATGGGTCTTAGCCGTGAGGTGCAATCAGTGCAGCGTGGCGCTGGCGGCTGCGGCGGCCAGGTCTTCCAGCGCATCAAGGAGAACAACCCTGTCTTCAACCCGATTCGGGACTGCAATGAGGGCACGGAAGGGTTTTTCGAGGACGCGAGTGGTAGTGCTTCTTCGGGCGGCCAGTTCTTCCAGCAAGAGAACGCGAACGTGTCCGCCCACAACACGATCCAGCATTATCTCGAGGGCACGGAAGGGTTCTCTGATGAGGTGCATGGTTGGATTTCAAGCTCTGCTTTACAACATGTGATCCGTTGTCATGGTTTGCCGCATGATTTTGATTTCCCTTTGAGCTCGAGTAGGGACCCTGTTGCGAACAGGGAAGCGTGGGCATCAAATGGGCCCTTTTGTCAAAGGGACAGCTATGGGAGAGCCGCGCTCTTGCCTGTTGCAGGTCTTTGTAGATGCATCGTTGGGACTTCAGGTCAGGAAGGTTCCAATGTTCCTTGGGATCTTTCGGAGAATCGTACAGAGTCTCATGAAAATGAGTGCCGTCGAGGGGACCCTGCAGGTGCTTTTGTTTTGCGCTTCAAGGCTTGCCAAGGATTGATTGGAGAATTATCCTTTGATGGTGACGAGCCATTTGCCGGTCTTGGGCCAAGTGGCCCTTGCTATCCTGCTTCGCCGCTGCATGTGCAGGAAGATGAGCTGCAGCAAAGCCCTGGACACCCTTCAGAGGAGTTCCATTCGCCAGTTGAGGGACCCTTCCATGATTCTGTGTTTCAGGAAATTGCCAATGGTGATGTCATTTTAGGGGATTTTCTTTCGCGATTTCAGGCTTGTCCGGGTTTGATTGGTGAATTTTCCCTTGATGAAGATGACAGTTTCGCTGATTTCGAGCCAAGCAACAATCGCAGTGTCGGCGCACTATTGCAGTTGCAGGTAGGTGCTAAGCAGCCGAGCTCAGGACAGTGTTCTCAGGAGTACCGTCTGCCAGGTGAGAGCTCTTACCATGAAAGTGACCTTCAGGAAACTGATCACAGCGATGACGGAGGGCCATGCTTGGATGGTTGCGGTTGGTGGCATGAGTGCTCCAGCTTTTCTTCAGGATGCTCAGGATGCGGATATGATAAGGTCTCCAGCAATCAACCTGAGATTCCACTTGAGGCTGGGTATCCATCACGTGTGCATTTGTCTCCGATTGTTGGGTTTCAAGGTGCCACAGGGCAGGTGCAGCAGTGTGTTGGTTGCAACGTGCGTGATCGTCTGTCCAATGGGAGTGAAGATGACATTAATCACCTCGTTACAAGAAAGAACCAAGAGCCCTACTGGGTCAACAAAGCTGTCACGGGGGACCAGCTCGATGACAAATGGAGTGAACAATCCACTGGGACTCAAGAGCATGTTAATCACCTCGTAAAAAGAAAGCCCTACTGGGCAGGTCTTGCCGTCGCGGGGGAACGGCCGCTAGAAGTAGGTGCATCCAGTTGTAGTCCGTGGTCGTACAGTGATGTGCAGTTTGCCGGTGAGCATGACTCTCAACTCATTGTATCAGGTCAAATCTGCCATGATCCTTCAGAGCGCTGGGGTACTTGTCCCGGGCCCGTCGAGGAGAATCGCAGAGGTCAGGCTGCCCATCAGGGTTCCCATGGACTAAGTGCCGAGCTC